CTTCTTAAGCATGCATTCGAAATCGGCGTACACGATGAATGGATGACGTTCTCGGTGACAAAAATTATCAAACTTTATTATTTTATCCTCACTCGATGGTAGAATGATTGCGCAAACGTTCATCATCATGCAGTCCTTCGTATGTTTCAATAACTTTTCATCTGCATAAAAATAGTGAAGGCATCTGCATATAAACAAAGTAACTGCATTAGTACAAAAGAACAAACGCATACACTAAAATAGATGGTAATGGCGTGATACAAACCTGTCACAAATATAAGTTTTACTCTTATGTGCACTGAGCTGGTTTGAAACAAGCCGGGAAAGATTTTTAATCCATGCAAAGTGGCGCACATTACGGTTGGGCGTTTCAAGCATCAGCAGGTTAACGTGACGAAATCTTTTGTTAGTGGTGAGTTGGAGCGGAGCACACCTTTTCACATTCATGTCCCAGAAATAAACGTTTATCGAAACATCGTTTTGGCGCTCAAATTTTGGTATTTGATTAAGCGTTATTGGAAATGCGATGCCCTCCAAATTTAAAACGGTGTCATAGTTGGGATACGATGATGGTCGATTTGCATTCACATGGGCGGGATATAATGCTGCAACTCTCGATCTGACAAAACACGTATCATCGTCATCTGTCACATTTACTACCGCTCTTTTGTCCTTGATTGTTTTTGGTATGTCGGTGTAACAACCAACATGCATCGGATTGCATTTATTGATATTTAACATCAAATGCAGAATTTTCGATATTGCCCAACCACTGTCCCGTTCCTGAAATTCTTCCATCAGTGTTAAAGTTGAGTTCACAACGTATTTGTCATAGCAATCGTTCAAGTTTGATGTAGAAAATAATTGTTTATTTCTCACACTGAAACTTTTCACATCAGTTTTATTATTAGCGGTAAACACCCCATACAACACCGTATTCACTTTTATGCATGAATGATTTTGGAAAACTTCCGCTAGACGTTGGAATACTATTTTTCTAGCATCTTCCAAAAAGTTTCGTGGTTCAATATGCTCGGTGTTGATTATAATTCCTGTAGTTATCCGGTTATGGAAAGCTGATTCTACATCCTCCCAGATAAGAGATGATGATGATGCATGTGATTCAGCATCTGTTCTCTTTTGACCTTCGCCTATTTTTACAAATCCGTGTAACTCTGCTCTTAACGATTTAAATCTCGTTATCCTGGCTGTTAAACTATTTTTCAGACCAGTTGATAAGTCCTTTTCCAGTTGCAATCGCTCTATCATTAAATCAATGCATTGATTGCATTGCACCAGACATGCGTTTTGGTCGTCGTTACTACTTATGGCTGCAATACGTTGTGTCAAAAGTTGTTCTATACAAGCAAGTTCGTTTATTAATATTGCCTTTTGACCACTGGGATGATCATTGTCACTATACAATATTCTACGCAAGCCATCGATTCTTTCTTTGTATGCTTCTATGTCTCGCCATCCTTCGACTGATAAATCGTCTCCCATTTGTAATCGTTCGTCTATCAATTCGATGCACTGGTCACATTGCATCAAGCAATCACAACGCACATCTTCAGTATTGATGTTTATCGCCCGCTGCGCCAATAATTCGGTGACGCGTTCGAGTTCCTGCAGTAACGTGGCCTCCATTTCTCTTTTCCACAAACGCGTTAAGTATCCTTGCACTTCTAATTGTCAAACTACATATGACGCACATTGCCAATTTTCTTCCATTTTATTAAAGTGAGGCTGTCATTGGCGAAAGTGTTTAATTGCTGTTCACTCTGCAGCGTCAACAAAACCGCATTTCCAAGACGTAGAAAAATTCGTTCAAGGTCATGAGCAGAACCTCTACCTTCTATAGTCGCGAATTGCAGCGTCAGATTTGCTGCGCCAACAAAAAATCTCATTTCCACTTAGGGCCTTGTGCCGTCTTCCGATAAGACAAAAATAGTTCAAGGTCATGGGGGGTGGGGTATCATATTTCTGCTGATGGTGTCAAATTACTGCGGGGTCTGGTCTGCTAAGGGGGTGGTTATGTCGTAGTTATAGGGTGGGGATTGTCATAGGGTGGGTATTTCTGCTGAGGGTGTAGTTATGGGGTGATTATAGGGCGGGGGCTATCATAGGGCGGTTGTTTCTGCTGAGGGGTGGTTCGGGTATTTCTGCTGAGGGGGTGGTTATAGGGCGGGGGTTGTCATAGGGTGGTTATTTCTGCTGAGGGGGTGGTTAAGGGGTGAGGGAGGGGTGGGGGTTGTCGGGGGAGTATCATATTTCTGCTGACGGTGGTGTCAAATTTCACTTCAAGGTCATGGGGTGGGGAGAGGGGGCGGGGAGGGGGGTATGATATTTCTGCTGATGGTGTCAAATTACTGCTGAGTCAGCAAAAAAAATGCTGACGCCAGTGATTTAGAATCCGCATAGAACAGCTACTAACTCGTCTTCGCCCATACGCATCTCCCACGCCCGATGGGACTCTTTATCCAGTTTACGGATAAAATGAAATATGAGCACGTCGTCCCAGTATTCGACCGGACGAGATAAATTCCTTAATGCCGTTAAAGCGGCGCGAGATCTATCACGTAAGCTCCTTAGATCGTTTAAAACGGCAGATCCGATCGGGGGTGAGTCAAATAACATTTTTAAATGAGCGTTTATGAGCGCGCGTTCGTTCGCGTATCTGTCTGTCAACAACCTCCACGCTGCTTCGTAATTTGCCGCGGAAGTGGAAACATTTTTTAACAAAAGAGACGCTGCACCGGTCAAACTTGCTTTTAAATAGTGCAACTTTTGCACGTCGGACAACGCTTCATTTGAACTCACTAATGCGTGAAAGAGATCTCTAAAGTTTTCCCACTCTGTATAATCCCCGGAAAATTTAGGCAATTCAATGCGAGGGAGTTTGACAGACGGCGCGGATTCGCGATAACAAGAAACGGAGCTTATATTACAAGGGTTATTTGCTGCTTCGTTGTCCGCGGGTAAGGCTGCCGTCAGAGCGTCGAGGGCGGCGAGGAAGGCCGCTTCCGTATTGTCGAAGATGTCCTCGGAGTAGTAGGAATTTGTCCTGGTCTCCTCCTCGGTTGCAGCAACCTCAATCTGGATGTGCGTGGCTTGGAATTTGTTCCAGTAGTCCTTCAGCAAAGCGAGACGTCCGCGAATCACAGCAGGGGTGTGATTAGCCTTCCCCAGTTTTTTAAAATTGTTGAGTGCATTATTTATTAAACGAGCGTGCACTTTGTTTTCATGCATTAACGGATCCATGATATTGTTATATTACGAGTTTGAAAAATAAACGTACTTTAACCGCATGGTGAACTTTAACGAACGCGTCACTGTTTTCGCGTAGCGAAGTGCGTGAATGTCCTCCGATGTTTATCGGCGGAGGTCGCGATGTCGGTTGAGTTCGAAAGACACGTGCAAAATCCTTTGTTCTGCCTATTTAATCCGGATTAAATTTTAGCACTTTCGCGAATTTGATGTTCACCCACACTAATATATTTGTTTTATGCGGCACTGCACTTCCTTTATTTCCTTACAATCCGGCTCGAAGGACCATTTGTTGCGCGCAGAGAATAAATTTTTTCTCTGGGCAAAATACCAGTAATTTTAGTAAGGAAGGAAGGAGTTTAATAACGTTTAGAAACACTTTAATGTACGTAAGATAATTTAATAAAGAAAAGGAGTGTTTAGTCACTTTACACTGAAAGGCCTTTAATTCGTAAAGGCGAACTGTTTTTAACTTGGTATTTTCAGTCGAAGTACGTGGAGTGAATTAGTCGCGGGGTCAGAATCTTTTGTTACACTTGTCTTCGTCGTGAAGAGCGAAAGAGTAGGCCGATCGTCGCTGCGTCGCGGTTTTTATAATCGTTGGCGCGATGAGAACGCCGAAGTGTTTTCGGCGTCTGGCATAACTTTGCCTATTTTAAATTGACGCGCGCTTAATCCCGAACAAAACCTAAAGTTAAATAACGAAAATAATAAGTTATTCTTTGATGTAATAAAAATATTTTTGTTCAAAGTAACTGTAATAATACACCAACTAAATAAACCTTACCACCAGTCATTAAGGATTATTAATATATATTATTATACACAACATATACAAAAATGAAATATTGCTCGTTTCGTACTTACCACTTGCTTCAATCACTGTTCGTATTACAGTGAGCAGGAATCTGTGACTTCCAAAGGGAGAGAGTTGGTGGGGCACATTCCAGGATTACACAAATTGTTCTCTATGTTTACATTCCTGTTGGCATGTACGTAGTAGTTTATATGGAACGTAAGTATTCGTAAATATTCTATTCACCTCGAATACGCAAAAAAACAAACGGCGTACAGTCAATGATAGAAATATTCATACCCTCTTAATGTAGCCAAGAAATGTAGAAAGTATAAGTACAGTGAGTGTAATAAAAAGTGTCTAGTCAACGTTTAAAACAGAATACTTCATTTAAAATTGGGCCAAATAACTTGAGGTTTTTTTTTATTGAGAAGTTATACAAATTTATTTATTAAGATATGTGTTTTTGGTCGTTTAAAAAAATTACAATTTGTTGAAATCGTGAAAAAAATAGTAAAAGGCGTGGGAAGGGTGCGGGTCAAACAAGGAGAGAAAAGAAGCATGGCAAGAAAAAGTAAAGGATTTACTGGGGGAAAACGGAGAAGAGGTAGCGTGGATGGAGGAGGTAGAAAAGGATAGAAGAGAGAGAGTATTAGCGGACGCCGAGCGGAGAGACACCGATTAGACCGAAGATAACAACCAGTAAGGGAGAGGGAAACGTAGACGGTCGGCAACACGAGAAAATAAAAGCAGGTTGGCAACACTGTGGAACCACGAAGGCTTCAGGCGGCGAGGAAATAGCTCGAGATATTCGTGTGCAAGACACGTGGTAAAGCTAACGGGAAGTAAAGTGCGAATTATAAATTTTATCCAGGCGAGGAAACGACAAGGGGACGAGAGAAAAGAAATGGACTCACGAGAAGCGCAAACGTGGGAGATGAGAAAGTTGAGAGAGGAAATAAAAGAGTTAAGAGAGGAGCTAAGAAAGTGGAGGTTGGACGAACGCAGAGCAAGAGCGGAGAACACAACAAGAGGGGAGACAGAAATTGGAAAAGAGAAAAAGGAGGAGGAAGAAGAGAAGTACAAGGGACCAGAAAACGAAGAAATCAGGGGTATGGAAAGGGTGAGAAGAGAAAGAAGAAAGAAAAGCCTAATTTGGAAAGGGGTACAGGGAGAGAGCTTGGAGGAAAAGATCTCATACATAAACAGGATTTTAGGAAAGGAACTGGGGATGAGGACAATTATAAAGACCGCAATAGAAAAAAGAAGGGGTTGGGGGGGAGAAGAATAGTAATAACAGAGTTGGAGGAAGAAGAAAGAAAAAAAGGAAATGGTGTGGATCAGAAATGGAATCTGGGAAAGGTGGGGAGTGGAGGTGATCGAGGACCTTTCAATAGAAGAAAGAAAGGTCAAATGGCTAATCAAGGAAAAGGCGAAACAAGAGAGGACAAGGGGAAGATGGGTGGTATAACAGGGTGTTTCGTTTAAAACAAGCACCTAAATAGCCCCTCTATCTCTGAAAATACAAAAAATGTTACTTGACGTAATCTAAATGGTTTCAAAAGACGAATCAGATGGAAGGATCGTTTTTTATAAATTGTAATTTTTTAATCGTTTTTTCTAGGTCACTCATGTTTTTTTACGTATGTACACCTTTTTTGTTGTTGTATGTTATAGCAAATATTATTGTGCATTCCTCCATGTTTAATAGCACGATCTTGAAGTGACCGTGGACTCTAAAATTTAAACACGAGTGACCTCAAAGAAACGATTAAAAAATTACAATTTATAAAAAACGGTTCTTCCATCTGATTTGTCTTTTGAAACCATTTAGATTACGTCAGAAACATTTTTTGTATTTTCAGAGATAGAGGAGATATTTAGGTGGCCTGTTTTAAACGAAACACCCTGTATAACAATAGAAGAATTTGAGTGGAAGAAGAAGAGCTGGTATGGTGCGAGGAGAAAGGAGGATGGAGAAAGGAAATCCTGGGGGACAGGATCGAGAAAGTGATGAAGACTGACCAAGAAGAAGGAGGAGAAGAAAGGAACAAGGAGAGAAAGAGAAGAGAATAGAGAAAATAAGGGAGGAGCGCAGAGGAGAGCAAGAAGAAAGTGAAATCATAGAATTAAGGGTTTAGTTTAAGTTAAGTAAAGAATAGAATAGCTGAGGCCAGAAAATATTTACAAAACCATGGGCAATTTAAGTTAAGTTAATTTTATAAGACAGATTATTGTTTTGTTACTTGTATGATTATAGTATTGTATTTTACTTTGATATTTTGATTTACGGCCAAGGAGTACCTTTAGTTTTTAGTTTTTATTTTTATTTTTATTTCATTGTATCTATGTTGAGAATAGGACAGAGAATAAGGGGAATAGAAAGGGAAAAGTAAAAGAGGAAAGGAAGTAGGAATGAGAAAGGTAGGAAAGTAACTGGGGGGGGGGGGGGGGGGGTACAGTATAAGACTGATAGAATAAGGAGAAAAGGGGGAAATCAAAAGTACTTAAGATAGGAAGCACGGGGGACAATGTGATACAGCTGCAGTATTATAAGTATAGTTATATAACCGAAAATGTATAGTTGAATAAGGGCATAGGGTGTAAGTGTTTGTGAAGTTTGATATTATATTTTATGTTGGAGTTCGTATTGAAGGATTTTAGAAAGATTTATTGGGTCCCCTTGACCATGTTGTTGCCATCTGATTATCAGGCTCTGGGTGGGCGCACATGGAGTTTGTCAGTCACCGGAAATAGACGGTATTAGATACTATAAATGTCGCCTTTAGGGATGCAAGTGGTCGTCCTGCTTGCCACTTGAATTATTTACAATGAGGACCCAAGTTCAGGTCAATTCTCAGAATTTCCCGAACTCTAGCTTTCGCCCACCTAAGCGATGCTCGTGTTCCCCTTCTATATCGGAAATGCACTAAGGGCGGTTGGAAGGGAGGGCACGAGCTCGAAGCAAATTTTAGAGAAGAGAACACTTCGTTTTGGTACCTGGTACAAGACGGATAACAGTTAGACACTCAGACAGATTGTAGTAAATTCCAACACGCACACCCAGTTACACGTACACACATATACACACTGCAATAGAAATAAACAATATAATAGTGCATAAATGCGTGAAATCATTTTCTCCCAACCTGCTTGCTTGGGTGACACTAATCCAAATCAGACGGCACTTTGTGCAATATCCCAAGGATTGATCAGCAGTCCTTAACATTGGTCCTTCGAGCCGGATAGCGCAGCCCGAATATTGGTGACAGTCAGTGATTCATCAACTTGGGACTATTCGTCAAGACGAGAAAGTAGACACAGTGGAAATTGCAGTGGTGTGTGCGACAGAGACAGGTGATGTGTGTTCAGAGGTGTTAAGAAGTGTCGAGAACTCAATCACGTAATAAGACGTGTTACGTTGTGGGGAACGTCACGACGCCAGTAGCAGCAATCAGGTTGCCGATACTCATCGTTGAAGATTCAGTCAAGGCTCAACGAGAAGCAGAAGCTGAGGATAGTTCTGGACGATCAGATCAGAATTCTGGACAATTAGGTGCAGCAGGCGTCGTCCAATTACAGTCCTCAAGTAGTAAGCTCATAAATTTTCCTTATTCTATCTGCGTCATTTGCTATTAGAATGGATTCAGAAATGAAAGTTTTGATTTCTGAGCGTGGCCAAATAAAGTCGGCTTTAACGCGGTTTAAGAATTTCTTTAAAGAATTTGGGTCGTCCACACCTGTTAGGGCGCTCCAAAAAAGATTAGAGGCGAACACGGGTTTGCATGAGAAATTTAATACTATCCAATCAAAGATAGAGTTATTAGTAATGGGAACAGATTCAGAAGCAACACATATTGCAGAAAGAGAGAATTTTGAGACTGCGTATTTTGATTTGATCGCGCGAGTCGAGGAATATATTGAGAGAGCCTCCGGTGTACGATCTAGACCATTGGAGACCGTAGCGGGCGGTTCAGCTACACCATGTACAGTATCTGATGCACAGCCTACTGTGAAGTTGCCTACTATTCAGTTGCCGTCATTTGACGGAGATTATAATGATTGGGTCAGGTTTCGGGATACATTTATGTCTTTGATTGATTCGAATGATTCAATGACGAAGGTGCAGAAATTTTATTATCTAAATTCTGCTCTCGGGGGGTTCAGCGGCTCGTGTGATTAGATCATTGGGAATTTCAGAAGCTAACTATAAATTGGCATGGGATGTACTTAAAGCGAGGTATGAGAATACGAGTGCTTTAAAGCGGCATCATGTTAATGCGTTGTTGGATTTGCCAACGCCACAAAAGAATTCTCAGGCGTCTGTACGCGAGTTTATTGATGATGCAACAAATCATTTGATAGCTTTGCGTGCATTGAAGGTTAGTGTGGATGCTTGGGACCCCCTGATTGTTCCGATTTTGTCCAGGAAATTGGACATAGCTTCTTCAAGGGAATGGGAAAAAACGTGTAGCCTCAGTTTCGGGTGATACTACGTTTAAAATGTTCGCGGAATTTTTAGAGGAAAGATCAACTTATTTAGAAAGTGTTGCGGTCAATAATCAGGTAACGGGAAATCGAGTAGAAACACAGCCACAAAGTTCGACTACTCGTAAATCACCGCGAGTAACGTCGCATATGGTTAGTAAAACACCAAGTTGCTTATGTTGTCAGTTAGAACACGCATTGGCTAATTGTGACAAATTCAAAAAGATGGGTGTTAGAGAAAGAACGAAGCATGTACAGGAATCGCAACATTGTTTTAACTGTTTGCAGCCAGGGCACAGAGTTCAAGGTTGCACGCGCAATCACTGCAAAATTTGTAAAAGGAAACATCATCCCTTATTGCATCGCGATGATCTCCATTCAGTACAGTCAGGTACAAGTAAAAAATCAGATGTAACAAAATTAGACGCGGCGACTTCAGAAGTGACGAATTCGGAAGTCACAAACCCGGAAGTAGTGTTATCATGCATATCAGATCAGAACAGGTCTTTGCAGAATGCGATTCTCGCCACAGCTGTAGTGTCCGTTCAAGACAATATTGGGTACGATCATGAATGTCGGATACTCTTGGATTCGGGATCACAGGCTAATTTCATTACGGATGCATTCTGTAAAAGGTTAGGATTAAAACTATGTCCATTCGAAGCAGAGATAGTACTGTTAGGATCAGTCGTCAAATTAATTAAGGGAAAGTCCGAAATAAAGATACGTTCAAGGCACAATAATTTTCAAATTAGCGTTCTGTGTTATTCAGTTAAGAAAATTACAGATGACATGCCTAATTTTCCGATTCAGAGGGGCGCGATTTTGATACCCTCAAATATAACTTTAGCTGATTCAAAATTTGAAGAAAGTCGACAGATAGATATGCTTGTGGGTTCAGGAATATTTTGGAAGTTATTGTGTGTAGGACAACAAAGAGCAGGTCCCAGCTTGACATGGCAGAAGACTCATTTCGGATGGGTTCTCGGAGGAATTTTGACCTGGCCAACCAATAATACCCAAACGACCAACAGATGTCATTTAGTGACGAACTGTGATTTACACGCGCAATTAGAGAGATTCTGGAAGGTCGAAGAGCTAGATTCCGAGTTTAAGAATACAATGAATGAATGTGAGATACATTTTACAGAAAATACGCGTAGAGATTCTACCGGACGATATATAGTGAAGATACCATTTTTAGAAACCATAAACAATTTAGGAGATTCTCGCGAACAGGCGGAAAAGCGTTTGCGCGCATTAGAGAGACGGTTTGTGAAACAGCCAGAATTACGCGACCATTATATTAGCTTCTTGAGAGAATACGAAGAGTTAGAACATATGACTCAAATCAGTGAGTCAAACGATGATAGGCCTGCATATTTCTTACCGCACCACGCAGTCTCTAAGGAGACTAGCACAACTACAAAAATACGTGTTGTGTTCGATGGTTCAGCAAAGTCTACTACAGGTCTGTCATTGAATGATGTACAGAGGATAGGGCCAGTTGTCCAAAACGATTTAGTGACCATCCTTATTAGGTTCAGAATACACCGGTGTGTGTTGTCTGCTGACATCACTAAGATGTATAGGCAAATTTTAGTCGATTCAACGCACCGGAGATATCAGCGTATTCTGTGGAGAGAAAACCCCGATCAGCCGATTAATGTATATGAGTTAAATACTGTTACTTATGGAACTGCATCTGCCCCATTTTTAGCAACGCGTGTTTTGCGTCAGGTCGGGTTAGATAATTTAGAAAGGTACCCGAATGCAAGTAGGGTTATCATGGACGATTTCTATGTCGATGATTTATTGACAGGCGCGGAAACACCATCAGAGATACGACAATTAAAGAATGAATTGTCTAAGATACTAGGTCAGTCAGGTTTTCCATTGCGGAAGTGGGCCACAAATTGTCAATTTATTCTGGAAGAAGATTCAAATCTGGAAGTAAACAAGGAACTCGCGGCTGAAAGGGACCCAAAAACTCTTGGGTTAATATGGGCAACAAAGGCAGACACCTTACAGTGGTCAGTTTCACAGTCAGATACGAAACGCGTCACGAAACGTATTATATTGTCAGAAATTGCAAAGATCTTTGACCCATTAGGCTTGGTAGGACCTGTTATTATACAGGCAAAGATATTAATGCAACGATTATGGCAACTTCAGACAGGATGGGATGAATCAGTGTCCCAAGAATTGTATTTAGAATGGCTACGATATCGTTTAGAATTAGAGCAATTAGTCAATATTAGAGTCCCACGATGCACTATAGTAAGCAAATACAATAGAATAGAATTACATGGTTTTTCAGATGCCTCTCAGGAGGCATATGGGGCATGTGTTTACCTGCGGTCAGAAATGAAGCCAGGCACGTGGGAGGTTCAGCTATTATGTGCAAAATCCAGAGTTGCACCTTTGCGATCAGTTTCAATACCTAGATTAGAATTGTGCGGAGCATTAATTTTGGTCCGATTAATTAAGAAAGTGAAGGAATCACTTCCATTGACGATATCGGTTGAAAGATATTGGACGGATTCAACCATTGTAATAGCTTGGATAAGTAGTCCACCTAATAAATGGAAGACCTTTGTTGCAAATAGAGTTGCAGAAATTCAGAGTATCACGTTAATTGATAATTGGAGTCATATTAGCTCATTAGACAATCCAGCAGATATTATATCTAGAGGAATGACTCCTAGTGCATTGGTGACGAGCACCCTTTGGTGGTCAGGGCCCACCTGGCTATCTCGGGATGCACGTCACTGGCCGGTCTCAGGTATTAGTACAACAGAAGTACCTGAGGCTCGAGCTGTAAAGGTTTCACTTGCTGTTTTAGATCCAAGTAAGTATTCCATGTTTGGAAAATATTCAGAGTATTCCAGGCTATTGCGGGTGGTTGCATTCTGTCTGAGATTTATTGATAGGATACGGAATAATGCCTCACTGACTGGAGGAGCAACTCAAAACAGATTATCGTGTTTAGAGATAAATCGTGCAAGGGTAACGATATTCAAATTAGTTCAGGAAGAAACATTCCACGATGAATTGATAGAATTGAAGAGGGGTGAAATGGTCTCAAAAAGGAGTTGTCTTTATTCGCTTAGTCCATTCCTGGATGAAGGAGGATTAATCAGGGTGGGCGGTAGACTTGTGAATGCACCCATTAAGTATGATAAGAGGCATCCAATTGTTTTGCCTGCTAAACATTCGTTCTCAGACCTCGTAATTAGATACGAACATATCAGATTATTACATGCCGGTTGTCAGCAGGTGTTGGCGTCACTGCGAGAATCAGTCTGGCTCATAAATGCGCGGAATAATGTTAGACGGGTAGTAAGATCGTGCGTCAGGTGCTTTCGGGTTAAGCCAAGCGCTATAGAAACTTCAATGGGTCAGTTACCTGCTTCCAGGGTGACTCCGGCACGACCGTTTATGACCTGTGGAGTCGATTATGCAGGTCCCTTTTTGACAAAGGAACGAACAAGAAGTAAGATATCTGTGAAGGCCTATATATGTATTTTTGTATGCTTCGCTACAAGGGCAGTGCATATAGAGCTGGCAACAGATCTGAGCACCGAGGCATTCCTCAATTGTTTCCGTCGGTTTATAGCTCGACGCGGTAGATGTAAATGTATAGTTTCCGATAATGGCACTAACTTTGTTGGAGCAATAAATGAATTTAGGGATTTGAAGATCCTACTTAAGAATAAGGATCACAATTCAGACATTTCATGTTTTTTGTTAAATGAAGGTATAGAATGGAAATTAATTCCTCCACATGCACCTCACTTTGGTGGGCTTTGGGAGAGTGCCGTAAAGTCCGCAAAATATCATATTAAAAGAGTAATAGGTGACCAAAGGTTAACCTTTGAAGAGCTTTACACATTCTTGACGCAGGTAGAATCTTGTTTAAATTCCCGTCCAATTAGTCCTTTATCTGTGGATCCGCACGACACAAATCCGTTGACTCCAGGTCATTTTTTGATCGGCGACGCCCTGTGTGCATTGCCAGACACTGATTTGAGGGACGTTGCTGTGAATCGCCTGAATCGCTACCAGTTAATTCAGCAGATGTTTCAGCATTTCTGGCAGCGATGGCATAAGGAATACCTCCATCAAATGCAACAAAAATGGAAATGGCGTACTACCTCGCAGCAGCAACCAGCTGTAGGGACATTGGTCATCATCAAGGAAGACAACTCTCCCCCCTTACGATGGTGTCTTGGCCGAGTTGTGCAGACACACAAAGGAAAGGATGGAGTGATACGCGTGGTCACTGTCAGGACCGCAGATGCTACATATAAACGACCAATAACGAAAATATGTATATTGCCTATAGAGGACAATTTAAAACAGAGCCATGTACCAACTTAGAGGATAATTAGATATAACGAACAAATTAGTTAGTTTATATTTGTACGCAGTAGCTTAACAGATTTCATGTATTCTATGTATTATTTTGATTAGACTAGTTATAATGTTAACCATTGCATACTTGACTTTGTGAATTTTCAAGTTTAATTTAGTTTTTTGAGACAGATTACTTAGAACAAGTTTTATAGATTTATAAGAAATAGGTTGAACGGTTACCCGTCCAAGGTGGGCGGAATGTTGGAGTTCGTATTGAAGGATTTTAGAAAGATTTATTGGGTCCCCTTGACCATGTTGTTGCCATCTGATTATCAGGCTCTGGGTGGCGCACATGGAGTTTGTCAGTCACCGGAAATAGACGGTATTAGATACTATAAATGTCGCCTTTAGGGATGCAAGTGGTCGTCCTGCTTGCCACTTGAATTATTTACAATGAGGACCCAAGTTCAGGTCAATTCTCAGAATTTCCCGAACTCTAGCTTTCGCCCACCTAAGCGATGCTCGTGTTCCCCTTCTATATCGGAAATGCACTAAGGGCGGTTGGAAGGGAGGGCACGAGCTCGAAGCAAATTTTAGAGAAGAGAACACTTCGTTTTGGTACCTGGTACAAGACGGATAACAGTTAGACACTCAGACAGATTGTAGTAAATTCCAACACGCACACCCAGTTACACGTACACACATATACACACTGCAATAGAAATAAACAATATAATAGTGCATAAATGCGTGAAATCATTTTCTCCCAACCTGCTTGCTTGGGTGACACTAATCCAAATCAGACGGCACTTTGTGCAATATCCCAAGGATTGATCAGCAGTCCTTAACATTTTATTTTTATAGATTATATTTTGATACAGGTTCGGCAAGAGGAGCAATATTTGTGTAAAGGTTCGGAACCGCTCCTAATAAAAGCGCCTCAAAATCCCGATAGGGAATTGATAAATAAATACATACAAATAGTAAAAGGCAATTTTTCATGTCTTTTATGTGAGCCTATAATAAGAATTTGAAATATGTCTTTCGTAGATTCAAATAAGTTGTGGGTATGCAGAAAATTTCGTCGAGATCGGCTAATGCACTTAGAAGTTACAAATAATTAAAATTTCTGAAATTCACAACTTTTCATTTTAAAACGTGACTAGTTATGTTCTTAGATGAAAAAATCACAATTTTCGAAAATTTTAATTACTTGGTAGTGCTAAATACATTGATCGATCTCGATGAAATTTTCAGCATACACATAACACACTTAAATTTACAAATGTCATATTCTAAATTTTCATTGCAAACTCACATAAAAAAGTTAATAAAAAATTGCCTTCTACTATTTTCTTTCACGATTTCAACAAATTGCAATTTTTTAAAACGACAAAAGCACATATCTTAGTAAATGAATGTGTATAACTTCTCAAAAAACCTCAAGTCATTTGGTCCAATTTTAAATAAGGTAATCTGTTTCAAACGGGAACCGAACACTTTTATTACACTCACTATACAACCTGTCGGAATACGTTTTTCGATCAAACGCAATATGTCGCGATGTACTTTTACAATCCGACTCTGGTAAAAAAGTTGAAGATTATTCAGTTCGAAGAATAATGTAATAATTATAAAATTGTAAGGAGTACGAGGCCGCGAAACCGCGGGTCCCGCCAGCGCGCGCTAGTACCGGTGCCACCGATAGGTGGCGACCGCGCGCACCGCGAACTCGCGAGGCAGCCGGCCTCGCGAGCATAGATGTACAGTAAAACCTGGATATATGCAACAAAAGTTTGGCTGGATATATGCAACATCGCTATCCCCTCCACTTGGGGGGATCCCCCTAAGCCGAACCGAGCCGCTCGGCGAGGAAACCGTGTAATATGATCCGACCGTAATATCGGTGTGACTAATACTAATTGAACGATAAAACTTTTTTATTTTTAATTTTTTCTTAATGAAACTTTTACTAACGCATTTGTGAGATTTTTCTGATTAAGATGGTACCAAACACGATATGATTTGAATTATATTTATTTATTAAAATAATAATAAAACTGTACATATGTATAAGGCAGGCCGTACACCAAAGCTACATCAAACACGCAACATGCAACATGCAACTCGTTGCATGTTGTGTACGAACGTAGAATAGGTATCGCGGCACGGTACAAACGATTTGTACGAACGTAGAATAGGTAACGCGGCACGGTACAAACGATTTGTACGGACACAGAATCGGTACCAAAACTGGATATATGCAACGTTTAAATGCCCAGAATCGACACCTCGGCTGGATATATGAAACATTAAATGCCCAGAATCGACACCTCGGCTGGATATATGCAACGTTTAAATACCCAGAATCGACACCTCGGCCGGATATATGCAACGTTTGAAACCCGAGCCGACACCGCAACCGGTTTTCATTTCCAATCGTCCTTTGCTTTTCGCCACTTTTAACATCAATTTTAGCAAGTAATTATAATTCAAACTATATCGTGTTTGGTACCACTTTAATCACAAAAATCTCACCAATGCGCTAGTACAAGTTTCATTAAAAAAAAGTCAAAAATAAAGAAGTTTTTTGATTCAATTAGTATTAGCCAAGACGCATAAAAAGACGCGTGGAAATGTAATTGAATATTAAGTAATGCAAATTTTAATTAAATTGCAAGTATTTGTGAATTTATGTTATATTCGATCTATTTAACACTGCCATGAATTTTGTACTTATATCGCATTGCTTTACGTATGAAAAACGTTCATGTTCCTCGTTGACATCGTACCATCGCATTCAATGAATGAAAAACTTATTGCCGCAAAATTCATTATTTTGCACTTATCACTCAATGTAACGAAATTGTACTATAAATTGGCCTATTATTGCGATCGTCCTCACAACATAAACGAACATAGCTAGAACCCATAGACAGATCGCGTAGTCAGTTGAAACGAATACCTGACAACGTTACATCTTCAATTGATTGCTACTGCTCTAATAATTAATTGAATCTTTTGAAAATTGCTGCGAAGGTAGTCGTTTCAACTACTATTATTTTATTTTCTAAAATCCAAAACCGGCCACGTCTGCTTGGGGCGACTGGCAATTGTTTGTAAAAAGAAACCGGCCACGTCTGCTTGGAGCGACTAATTGCTTCTAAAATAAATAAAAAGCAAACCAACCACGTTTGCTTGAAGCGATGGGTAGACCTACAAAACATGCATCCCGTATAAGGAAGTATCGTGCGAATGAACCAAACGACGCCACGCAATTACGTCTGTACAAAAATTGCAAAAGAAATACAGAGGCACGATGTCATGAAACTATTAACGAACGCCATTTGAGATTATCTTCAATGCGAAAATATATGCGTTCAAAATTATTGCGTGAAACGATAGAAGAGAAGAAATGTCGCCTAACCATAATTTATAATTGTTTAAAGAACGAATCTGTCGAAGAATGATCACATAGGCTTAGATTAATCAATAGGCGCCTAGCAAACGAATCTGCTGAGGAACGATCACGTAGATTGAGATTAATCCATAGACGCTTAGCGAACGAATCTGCTGAGGAACGACCACGTAGATTGAGATTCATCCACAGGCGTTTAGCAAACGAATCTGTTGAAGAACGATCACGTAGACTGAGATTAATCCACAGACGTTTATCCAATCAATGTATTGAAGAACGTTCACATCAGGGTGACGGTTTGGTCCCGCCGTACATTGGTCCCAAATCACAAAATCCTGGCCAAAACCTCGAAAATGAATTTTTAGTTGGGACTATGTTAATAGCTGGGTTGTACACGCTAATAGTGAGTCTACAGGAAAACTAAGGAGTAAAGGTTTTATTACTTATACCTGGAAAATGGTAAGCGTTCAATTACCGCGTTCATTCGTCACGCAGTTTCCGTGCAGTGAAGTACAGTGTGCAAGAGCAAAGTGAAAAGTGAATAATTTTAAACAGACTATATTAATTTCAATTCTGCAAAATGGACGCTGTTTCTGGAAGTAAGTAGAATGTTTATTAGTACTAGTATATTTATAATAGTTAACGATAACGCTGTATAATAGGGAAATGTATTACAAATAATAAAAGGTAAAACTTCACGCGCGAATGTTCAAGATGTAGACTAAAAGTTGCATATTACGCAATATTACGCTAAAATTCTTGTCCAGGCATGTAGTTGATACTTTCATCTTACAGTTTTTGCAAAAATTAGCTGCCACTAAGTGCCACCCGGATCGTACGGCTATTTTTTATAATGCAGGGTAGGCGCGTTACTGTATGTATGGTTTTTACATTTTTTATTTATTACTGTGAATATTTAATTTAATAAATGCAATATAACTTGTGACTGAAGTATTTTCATTTACAAATGGCACATAATTCCATCACGGGTTACCATTTTGGATCGACTATTCAAAAACTACAATTTTATAATTTTAGATTTTCACAATTTCATAATTTTTGGTGTTTACTTAGAATATTTGGAGTTTTAATCCTGATTTAGCGATTCAAAAACACCATTATACTCATTTTCGAGAAGAATATTCAATTTTTCAATATACACATCGCTCATATTGGATTCGCCATTTTGGTTTTTAAAACTTTTACTTATGATTTGTGATCTATAACACTAAATACTCCTATACAGCAAGTTTCAGCCGATTATAACATTTTTTTCGTACACATGCTCACTATATAGGATCCACCATTTTGTTCTTTACAATTTTGATTTTTGATTTGTAATCACCGACCTCGAAAACCCCTAGGTACGAATTCTCATTTAAATTGAAAACCACCTTCATATTTTGGCCAGGATTTTGCGATTAGGGACCACTGTGCGCCGGTGGGTGCCGACTCAGGTCGGTTGGCCGGGGGTCTCGAGAATGAGTAAGCCGGAGTAGTTGTTCTATGCGGATTCTAAATCACTGGCGTCAGCATTTTTTTTGCTGACTCAGCAGTAATTTGACACCATCAGCAGAAATATGATACCCCCCTCCCCGCCCCCCTC